GGGACTGTCCTGAATATGCTTGAGAGTCGTCAAAGAGGGAACGATGCGTAACCTGAATGTCTCTGATACAAAGTTTCCTCCATCGTCAGTTAAAGCCGCAAATGGTACCTGGTACATACAGGAATCAGGGACAATGATAATTTCGGGCTCCTTCAGTAAAGCAGCCACAGGAGCGATGATTATCTTGTAGCACAAGTGAAGATTTGTCTTGATACCTTTGTCATCACAATCGCGCCAGAGCGGGTGATTTTCATGGTCAAGTGACACCGATTCAGTGTCATCTAGAGATCGATCTTCGCAATTCTGTTGGGGTAAAATGCCAAGGCCACGAAAGCTTTCCGTAAAAAACTCATCCAAGTCAGGGACTAATCCGGTCACCACGTTTTTGTCCAGGCTCACTTCCTCATCTGAAAAGAGAACAGCCCCTGTTGCTTTGAGAATCCAGTAGCGCATATACTTTTCTCCAACAGAAATGTAGAGGCATGCACAGTCAGTTTCCTTTGCGACAATATTTTGAATCCCATACCATGATTTTGGATCGCCTGAGATCTGCTCTACAACAGAGTACCTAGCTGCCATCAAGTCGGCTAAGCCCCTCGCCCGTCTCAGCTCCTCGACATAGAGGGCGTCTTGTGGCTTTGCCCCGGAAGAAAGCAAACAACTGAGTAACTCGTAGGGAAAGACGCCGTGCCTCTCCAAAAGTGATGTTTTAAACTCATCGTTGTCTTTAAGAGATCCTCGCAAAGTGTCAAACATTTCAATGCTTTGGAAAAGAAACGAAAAGGCTTCTTTAGGATCAAATTGTGATACCTTCAAATCCGTTAGACCAAGAAGGCATTTAAACTCAAGTAAGGTGTCTCCAATATCCCTGCTTAATAGGAGAGCCTTCCTGAGGTATTCCTCGGCCATGTCATATTTACCGAGCGATTGGAAACACAATGCTATATCTGCGTAACTGACAGCAACACCTTCTTTTATGCCAATATCCATGTAAATTTCAAGGGCTTTCTTGTAATATTCTAGAGCATTGTCGTACTCACCACGCTTATGAGAAATTATCCCAAGGCATTCGAAATGCCCTGCTTGTCCTTCTTTGAAGTCGATTTCCCTCGAAATCGCGTTCAACCTCTCCGAAAAATCGTCAGCCTTCAAATATTTACCGAGGTACAGAAACAAAGATACAAGGTTTCCTAAAGTGCCTACCTCTCCTTCTCTTTGGCCAATTCTCCTGAAAATATGTAGGGCTTTCTCCAAGTATTCTCGGGCCCTGTCATAATTACCAAGCGATGTCAACAGTGCTCCGAGGCTCGAGTAGCTTATTGCCTCTCCATGACTGTCGCCATTTTCTATTTGGATAGCGAGAGCTTTCTCCAGGTATTCTCGGGCCTTGTCGTATTTGCCAAGCCGTCGGAACACTCTTCCGAGGTTCCCATAGATTGTTGCCTCGCCATGTCTTTCGCCAGTTTTTATTTTGATAGTGAGAGCTTTCTCCAGGTATTCTCGGGCCTCGTCGATTTTTCCAAGCGATTCCAACAGTGGTCCGAGGTTCGTGTAGCTTGTTGCCTCTCCATTTCTGTCGCCAATTTCTATTTGGATAGCGAGAGCTTTCTCCAGGTAATCTCGGGCCTTGTCGTATTTGCCAAGCAATGCGAACAGTGCTCCAAGGTTCACGTAGCTTCTGGCCTCTCCATTTATGTCGCCAGTTTCTATTTGGATAGCGAGAGCTTTCTCCAAGTATTCTTGGGCCTTGTCATATTTGCCAAGCGATATGAACAGTGGTCCGAGGCCCCCGTGGATTGTTGCTTCTCCACTTCTGTTGCCAATTTCTATTTGGATAGCGAGAGCTTTCTCCAGGTATTCTCGGGCCTTGTC